AACACAAGGTCACTGAGTTAAAGGGAGATCTGTTTGTTGGTCGCCAAATTCTCTTCATCAATTTGTTTATACAAACAGTATCAAAAGTTTTTTTCTTCTTTTTGATGTTCTGTAGTATACCATGTGCAGCATAAGAAATCAGAGTTTGAATAGCAATTAGCTATGAGAGCTTTTTGTGCTGTTTTGGCTAACTACAAAATCAGTCCCAAATTGCCCCAAGGCACCCTAGATTCAGCATCTCTACTAAGAGTTTAGTCCCATTTCTAAATCCATAATTTAGACTTTTTCTGGTCCTGTATTAATATTCAGTTGTTTATAGCCCTATAAATTATATACAGTATTATATAAGGTAACGAAAGGAAAAGGATTAGCCCTAGATGCTGAAAAATTTAGTCTAAGCTTCAGCAGATTTCTCAGTTCTGATGATGATGCAAGACAAAAGGAACAATGTAGAGCAAAAAATTATAACAACTGAATTATGTATATAAAATCATGAGGTAAAAAACATGTTCTTTATCTATATTAAGTATTAATGTCCAAAATGACATCTATGGAGTCCAAACTAATCTGTTGGAAAAAATTGTCCTTCATTGTAGTGTTTTTTAAAGTTCTTAATTTTTGGCCAAAGCATTTTCTCATACTTTTAAGTACCATTGATCCAACAATGCAGTAATAAACATAATAGCTAAGAGTAAAAAGTGAACCAAGATCACATGATGGATCGATTTATATACATTAGAAAATATACAGAATAAATGGATCTCAGGATTAATTATGAAACTTGTTGGATTTGCTGAGTTCCTTCAAAAGTCTTTTAACCAAATTACTGAACAAGTGGTGCATATTATCATTGTATGCCCCCATTAACCCACTCTAAAAGAGATTAAATTTATATTATATTGTCTTAACAGATTATACCATCTATATATTAGTTGATAGTCAAAACTTAATGGCTTATTGAAATAGACATACAAGGAATTCTGTGCCCCAAAGAATCCAAATGATATTCATCAAGTTTAGTACTCTCTGACCTCTTTTTACCTCCTGACCTAACTCCTGTTTTCCCATTTCTTGGACTTTCCTATTTTTGCCCTTTGACAAAGCCTTTCTCATATCACTGATGCTGTGTAGTCAAAGCAGAACAAGAAAGAAAATCTAAATTGTTCACCTGGAGAAAAAATCATGAAGTTCTTGGATCCATATAAAGCACAATTTGAGGCTTAACAGATTGCATATGGTCAGTGTTCAGCTACCACCATGAAATTTCCTTCAAGGTCCTTGTTCTTGGTCCCACTGGTGCACACAGTGTTTCAAGCTCAAAACAGCTATTCCAACCTTATTCAAATTGTTCTGTTGTTATTTTGACAACATCAGCAACATTTTGAATGATGTCCTGGATCAATACCTGAGCAAGGAAATTGTCTGAAGGACAACCAGTTTCAGTCAAAACATGTGAGGGTTGAGTGGGCAAGATGGGAACCAATAGTTCCCAAGCCAGAGGTGGCTGCTATTTAAAAGTAAAACTACCATTTGATTTCAAGATCACCAAGCAGGGTGCTACATATCTGTTAATTTGGAAAAATAGAAGCCTCATGTTTAAACTGCTGAGGGTATAAAAGCTTTCATGCCTTTGTGCTAGCAGTGGGCAATGTAGGGTGGTGTATGACTTCATTATTGTCTGCAGTTATGATTCTATTCTAGCCAAGCCACATCTAAGAGTTTTTGCTAAGTCCAACTTGGAAACTGAGCTAAGTCGTCAAGCATCAGGAGACTGATGAATTACTGCCAAGCCCAGGTTGGGGAAACTGGACAAAACAAGCACAGTTATGACCAGTCTCTCCAACTGAGTGGTATTTAATCTGTTTTAGACGGGAACAATGTGTTCCCTGGAAGAACACGTTTGGGGATGTTTCTAGATCTATCATCACTTGAAGCACAAGCAGCCTCAGGGACTAGAAGAATCTTTCATTAAATCAGGGCTATATATCCTGGATACAGATAATCTCATGTCAGTTATCTCTGTCAGCTTCAGGGCTTCCTAGTGGTAGGGGGTTAGTAGGCACATTTTCAAAGAGCCATTCAAGGAGAAAGGAAGTTAGGATAAAAGAAAACTTGTACAAGATTATGTCTGAACTCCAAAATACAAAAATATTGTTTGGAAATCAGCATTTTCTGCTTTAACACCCATTCTCCAAAAGTTCAGAGCAGAAGTGGGATTTGTGCTCCAAATTACATAGTTTCCAACCAGAAGAGCCACAAAATATAATTTTTGCACAAGGCAAATTGATGTTGCCTAAAGGCATATATAGCACCACACCCAAAATCTTTCTAACCCCCCTTATTGTGTCTCAGATATGCTCCATAACTCTAAGCTTACACCTTTTCTAAATAGTTGGCTGCACTCCTAACAAAGTGAACTGCTGCCCACTCTGAGGCCTCTGCACCATCCAGAAGCATCTTAAATATAAAATGTGCTGGAGAATAGCACTCATTTTGTCATCAATCAGCCTGCTGTTACACATTTTCATTTCAGAAAATGAAATGTTAAAAAGGATGAGACAAGGGAGCTGTTGGGTTTCATAAGAAATATCCATCAGAAAAGCATTGGGAATTGCTAGTTTACAGAATGAGTAGTATATCAGGTTATTTGACTCTTACCCTACCTGTTGGCTGTCCTCCTCCTTTCCTTAGCTATCTGCCAACTGAGATACTCAGAGGAGCCTTCTAATTGCAGGATTTTTCATCCTACATCTTTCTATGGGAAAATAGAGTAAACCAGACATTTTTACACCCTCTTTCTCTTCTGTTTTCTATTTTCTCCCTTGCATCTCTCATCTCAATTATCAGTTCCCTTGGTGACCAGTTTAATGACAACACATAACAGAACTGTGATGTCACCAGTTACATTTTCTGTTCCTCACCATAGTATTATGGTAGGAGAGGGACTAGGTAGACGGAATAGATTAGCTAATTGTGTGGCTATACTCCTTAGATTGCCTTAGTGCTATATAAATGGAAATACTGAATTTGCCAAGTCTTTCTGAAAGCAAGCTGCTGGCCACCCCCTCCCCCCCCAAAAAACCTCTCTTTTTATTCACAGCTCTATTAGGTACTTTTTATAGATGGATCTCAATCTCATTAATTAAGTGCATAGAAGAACAGGACCAGAATCAAATGTTGATTTTCCTAGTATCTTGCCTAATTTTGTGGCTTCCTCCAGGTGCATGCATTAAATTGTCTTTTAAGTCCAACAGGACAACACAGTCTCCATTACTGGCTCTTCAGTTGGAAAAAAGAAGTAATTTTCTTCGCTATGGATTTGCAGGTAAGTTTGGTGCGAATTACTGTTGGCACTACAGTAGATGAACTGAAGAGGCAACAACTGCTGTAAAGAGCTCCTCCAAAGATTATTTTTTATTATCCTTTTTCTTAATCTACTGGTTTAAATACCAGCTTATTTTATTTTACAATTACCCCTCCACCCATGCTGTTAGTGTGACAGCCTCGCACTGCCCCATCGGAACCCTCAACATACAGAAAGAGTAGAGAAAACTTCAGGACATCATCAACCATCATGGGAAAAAGAAGGAAGAGACACCAGACACATTCTGCAACGTAAGCTGCATCCAAGCCCACAAACAGCTGAAAGTCAACAGTTACTTAACAAGCAGGCAGCCACCTCCTGTAAGTAATCCAATCCCCTCTAATCCCTCTGATAGACATGATGCTTTAGAGTGGGATCTACAAGCAGAGATCAAAAGCCAACAGCTTATAGATCTCTCCTCTTCTATGAAAGAGGATGCCCCCCAATACACTGGTGCAATCTACTTAGCAACTGTACAGCTTTTGCAGGATGAGGGTGGGAACACAAACCTGATAAAGAATGAAAATATAACTTTCTAACCAGACAAAGCCTGCTAACAGCACAAACCTCTCTTTGAGCTGTTATCCACAATCAAAACCAAAGTGGACCCTTTAAAAGAGGTCTTGGTAAAGCTTATTGAAAACCAAGCAAATGATAACATTGCTAAAGCGCAGATCACCTGTACAAAGTGTGCCATAAAAGCAGTCAGCAGGGACGTTATGGTCAACCTGACACCTACACCAAGAGGGAGAGCAACGGTCAGAGACAGCTGACTACTCATGTGGAAAAGGGTGAGGAACAAGTGCCTAGTGGTCATGTAATTAAGGGAGAGAGGCATTCAAATGGCAAATACTACCTACAGCATAATCAAATCACCCTACAAACAGAGGGCGATGGGGATCAAAAAGAGAAATTATTTTATCTTTAAGCCAGCTACTATGCTGCGAAAAGCAGCTGATTGATTTAAAAGAGGCTGAATGGCTCCCACCCAGCGGAGGCTGAGAATGCATTTTACTTACATTCAGGCAATCCACAGTTTCCAGCATGCTGTTTAAAATGAGGCCCTTTTTGCATACTTTTTCAATTTTTCCAATACGCATGTTTGTTCAGAGGAACTCAGCCCACTCTTGAGCCAATCTGGCCCAGAGAGTACTGTCACTTTAAAGAACAAATGTGACCACTCGATTCCAGATAACCTCAAGGACATTCTACCAGCTCTGCCCCCGAGAGATGACCACCCAGGCAAACAATCGGCACTACCTACAACAAGACAGTGTACAGATGACCTCCTGGAAGAAAACATGACTAACTCTTTTAGTGCCTTGTCAGACTTGGAACAAGCTGACATTATTAAAAGACGGGATGATCTAAGAGAAACCTTAGTGGCAACACACAAAATAGCCAAACCTCTAATTGATTTAGTTTTACCAACTACCCAAAGCAACTGCATCTACTTTGAGAGAGGACTTGCTGATGTCCCAGCCCCCTCCTCTGACTTGTGGAATCTAGATATGCAAATCATCAATACAGAGTCCCCTGGAGCAGATTCAAACTCCTCATTGCCCCCTGTTAAAACAGCACAACATTCAGAAATTTCAAAGAACAAAAACCAGGATGCTGTTAATCAACAAGAGGGTCTTGACTGCCTAAAGCTCTGGGACTCACAATCTGAGTTAGGTGGTGGGCCACACCAGGAACATGAGATGGATGTTTGTAGCCTAATACATCCAATAACTGGCACATCCTCCAGCTCTCCAGGCAAGCCTCTGCTTCAGGAACCATAGGAAATCATGACAACGGTAGTCCATGGGGCAGGAAGAACACCATCACCCAGGGTTGAGACAGCCCCTTTGGTCAATGATATAGACATGGAACAACAATTGGCTAATATTCATTATTCTAGGCACAAATAATTACAGAACTTATCTGATTCCACACAGCAAGAGAGCGGCAAAGGTAAACCAAATTTCAACCAGTGTGTCTTCCTAGATACTGAAGGAATCCTAGACCTCATCTCACCTGTAGAATGACTGCATAAGCAACATCATCCAACCACAGTCCCCAACATATTGCCAGCTACCCCTTCTGACAATAAAATCATTAGAAAGAGATGCTTTGCAGAGCATGTTGGCACAAACATAGCACCATTCTTGAAGGGTTCAAACAGCTACAGTATAGCCTTTGCAAGACTTGTGTGGCTGCTTCTCAGTTTGCAGACATAGGCACAGGCACTTTATTTTGCTGGCAGTTCAGCTGAAGTGTTATCTGCCTATACATGCACAGATAACTTGGGACAGTTTTCCTGCCTCCCAGGAGGTGGTGTATGGTTGTTCCATACAACAGTATTGGCTTTGCTGAGGGAGGTTTTGGTTCCGAAGGAGATGATGGTATGCTCCCATCTTAAGAACCTGTTGCTGGATCCAACAGTTCTGGACAACTTTCATTCAGTCAAACTTTCCTTTCTAGGGAAGATTGTTGAGCAGGTGGTCTAAAGCTTGGAATAAATGGATTATCTGGATCTTTTCAGCCAGGTTGCAGACTGGGACACAGTATAAAGACAGCATTGGTCACATTGTGGATGACCCTGGTGGAGACAGGACAAAGGTAGTACAACTATCCTGGCTCTTCTTGATTTCAGAGATTTTTCATACCATTGGCCATGGTATCCTTCTGGACCATCTACAGATTAGGAGTGTGGGGGGGAGGCACTGTGTTGCCATGGTTCTCCTCACTCTCTGACCAGTTCCAGTCAGTGTTGCCAGGGGTGGTAAGAGATTGAACCCAAGCCCCCTGATGTGTGGGATGCCATGCAGTCCCCTGTTTAACATATGCATGAGGCCACTGGGCAAGGTCATCCATTGGTTTGGGGTCAGGTATCACTGGTATACTGATGATATTCAGCTGTATATGTTGACTCCAGGCCAAACAGGGGATGCTGTTGAGGGCTTATCTCATGTGTTTGGAGGCTGTGGGAATCTAGATACAGAGAAATATACTGAAGCTCAACCCTAGCAAGACCAATTGGTTGTGGGTATTTGGACCCTCTGGAACTAGAGACTTTCTGTCTTTTGTCCTGAATGGGTTTGCAATTCCCTGTTTGGGACTGGTGCACAACTTGGGAGTTTTCCTGAACTTAAAGCTCCTGCTTGAGGACCAGGTGGCAGCTGTGGCCAGAAAGGTATTTGCACAGATTCATCTTGTGCACCAATTGTGGCCATTTCTGGAGCAGAAGGCCCATCCTTACAGTCAGTTATGCTTTGGGCACCTCATGTAGACTATTAAATGCTCTCTAGAGCTGTCTTTACAGACCAGTTGTGCAGAATGTGGTGGCATAGGTAGTTATGGACATGGGATACTATGCCCATGTAACACCTCTACTCTGAGCTACACTGGCTACCAGTAAGCTGAGTACAATTCAAGACACTGGTTATTACCTATAAAGCCCTTCATGGCATAGGACCTGGCTAGCTGAGACACCATCTGTCTCCTATAGCTTCTGCCCATTCTATTCAATCCAACAGACTTGGCATGCTTAATTAAACAGTGTTATCTGATGGGACCTAGAAAATGAGCCTTCTGTCAAGGTGTCTGCCCTCTGGAACAGAATTTCCCCAGAGATTCATATTGCCCTACTCTGACCTTGTTCAAATGGGCCCTTAAATCTGGCTCTTACCCCAGATATTGAATTAGACTGTATAGTGGGCCCTTTGTGGGAATGTTGTATGTTTGAGATGGTGTTGGTTTTATTTCTTCCAGATGTCCATTATTTTCCTTTCCTGTCATCATAAATTTGCTTTTAATATTGTTTGCTGCCCAGAGTTGCTATGGAGTCAGGTGGCCTTACACATTTGATAAATAAAGCAAAAATAAAAGCAGCCATTCCAGTCTTGCAAAGGAGATGGCTCTGTCAGTACTTTAGTGCTTTTTCCCTGCTGACACATTTTGAAAAATATCCTCTTTCAAATGCTTCATGTAGCACTGTGAAGAAATATGAAATAGAATTTAATTGGTGTGTGTGTATAAAATAGCTTAAAGTATTTGTGCAAGAATACTCATAAAATGCCACGCTGCCTTGCAGTAAATCAAAGCTACTGTATATGGCCTAACCCATTAGCTTTATTTTACTTCTTTTATATACAGCATAAGAAATAAGCTCATCTGGGTTCAACAAGGATATTTTACTTACTGCATATTATGTGTGAAATGCTATGTTTCCTCTTGTCCCCTATTGGTAACCACTCACAGGCTCAGGTCTTGTCACGGTCACATATACCTGGCATTCTGTTATTAAGACTGGTCACTTTAAATAATTAGTCCATTTTTGTAGGAGTCCAAGAACTCTAAATGTGGTTATTATTCATGTACAGTCAGGACCAGAAATATTGGAACAAGGATAACAGTTGTGGCATTTGGCCTCTGTACACCACCACATTGAAGTTGAAAGGAAATC